AATACTTTAAGATGAGATGAGATTATAGTATTTAAGATTTGCAAGAGGTTCGACAGCATCATACCCCAAAAGTCCACCCATCGCAGTTAATGACTTCAAAAGTTTTTAGAATGCAAAGTCCACCATGGGCGTGATAACATGTGCTTGTTAGGGTCCAGAAGCACTCTAAATAATTTTTTAAAATTTATCTTTTTTAAAGTTGAATATTAAGAAAATCGACCCTCATGCAAGTTTTAGACTTGTGTTATTTTTATTTTGCCAAGTAAATCTTTCTATTTAACCGATCTCAAATAGTTGAAAAAATATTTGACTGAGTTACTTACTTTGCTGTTTACTTATTTTGTTAGAAGAAGTGGTGAAACGGCAGCCCTTTTTGGTCGTACAATTTGCAACATGGTTAAAAAATTTCAAACATCACTGATTACTTCATACGCACTATCACATTTGATAAAAAGTACATTAACAAATGGCTGGGCATCTGCGTAGTATATGCAAATACATTCGAGATTCCTTCTTCTTCTTTCTTTTTCTTTTTTTTTTATTTTTATTTTTTGGGGGGAGAAAAATGTGAAAAAACAGAAGGATCCCAAAGGTCCAATGACGACACGATGAACTTCGTTTAAATTGCTTTGCTTTGCTTTTATGCTTCCAAGAATGGGTGACTGACCTCCCCACTTCCACCATTCCGGCTCTCTTTACACCAACCATCACCATCGCCTTTCCTACAATAACCACTCAAAAGCAAATACGGGAAACTACCAAAGGAAACTATTCCCCTGGAATCAATTTTTTCAACTACATATATTCAGAACCCATCCCTGATCCTATAAAGAGAGAGGGCTCACTGTGAAATAAAGAGAGGAGAAAGAAGGAACATCAGAGTACAGGGCAGCCTTTGGCTATGACACCCTTTGCCGTAGGGCAAACGGCGAAATCACAATGCTCCCCATCAGTACCCCACCAATTGAAGCTGTTATTCTCCATGCTTAATAAGAAGTAGAGCAAAACCCCCATAAACGCCACCCCGGCATCCAATCCAGCCGATAACACATAGTTATACCTTTGCCACCAGCTTTTCCGATACCTGAAAACGAAGAAATTGAATACAGTCCCAACTGCCACCCAAGCATTGTAGTTTAAGGCAGTTGCAGGTGGCATATAATTAGTAGCTCCAAGAAGAACAGGAAGATTTATTAGAGGTATCCATGTTTGGCTAGGGAAAGCTTTGTGAAGGAGCCAAACAAGAACTGGACCGAGAACACCACCGAGAAAGAACCAGTTTAGTGCTGGGTAAGCTCCCAAGGGACCGAAGATTCGCTTTGGACCAACTAGTCCCCAAATTACAGAGGCATCAAAGAATACACGGTCACCAGGGCAGGTCCATGGGCTTCCTTTAGGGAGAGCTGCCTTGTTGCATATGTTCTCAATTGACTCTAGCAGCCACCATGCCACTCCAAGGTTGATTGTGCCCGCGATCACAGTGCCAATGAACTATCAGGTCACCATGAGAAAATGAGTCAGATGATCTCTCTCTCTCTCTCTCTCTCTCTCTCTGTATGTAGATGCAAGGGTAAGTATATCGTAATCCTCAAGGTTATTCACAGTTAATCAGTGGTCTGACCAACATCAAATTCAGGTCATGTTCATGTGGATCCCACTCTCCATAACCACTCAACCCATTGATAGGATGGTGATGACCCGCACAACCACATATCCCATATGGCCCTGAGGATTGCACATACGTCGATCCCCAGATACAAAATGCAAACTGCCTCGGCAGTAGCAATGGAAGTGCCTTATTCTTGTACCTGGACACAATTCACTTCTTACAATAGCAAACTCAATGCACTTATCAGGGAAAGCCCACCATCATGCCCTGACCTGGCCACAGGGATAAAAGACAAAAAGTCTTTTATCACAACCAAAAATGAGCATATTGTTCTTGTTCACTGTGATGATTGATGTGCGAATTTTCACAATTGCCTGCAAAGGAAACTAAAGAGAAGACTTCGATTTGGCCATGTGGTAAAATCTAAAAGAGTGAAAGAAGAAAAAAAATGTTTTCTACTTAGTACGAACAAGAAACAGTTGCTAAAGCGAGTTCATTACTGATAGAAAAACTAGTGACAAAGAGGGATACCTGAACCAAGAACATGGATCGAGGAGGGATTTTCATGTAGTGGCCGAGCTTGAAGTCAGCAAGGAAGGAGACAGCCTGGCTCATGCTCATGTATCCATACACTTTGAAGCACACATTGGCAATGGGCTTTCCTGGTAGGATATAACCCATTATGTACTCTGTTATTATGTTCAATCCTGGTGTCTGCAAAATAAATTTCAAAGAGAAAGAGAAAAATAAAAAATTTCTGATAAACCAGATAAACAGTAATGATATGCTCATACGAAGACAACTAAAGGAAAAAAATTGGTAATAATACATGAATTTAGAAGCAAAATAGAGTTAGAAAAAGGATTATTGACCTGGTTGGTAGTGGCTGTTATGATGCTAATGGGTAGTGTGAACAGGAAGGCGAGGGCACAGGCAAAGAGAAGTCCCCACCATGGAAGCTGAACTTCATGCTTAAGTACGATGCAAAGGAACAGAGAAATCGCGACGGTGGCAGTCATGAGTGCATAGAACCACCACTGGGGGATATCAGCATAATTTTTCATCAATCTCGTATGCATATCAGGCTTGCTCCTGATGGATGCCCGGCTACGCTGCCATATTTCCCTGGAACCACCATCCACCCCAATTTCAAGCTCATGTGCCTAAAAATCCCACTGAATCTCTCTCTCTCTCTCTCTCTCTCTCTCTCTACTACTACTACTACAC